TTGACTAACAGTTGACCTGTGTTAAAAAAATACTTAATAACCTACATTTTAAATCCTCAATTTGAAAAATTAATCAAACTGGAAAAGTGAAGATCTCTGCCAGGTGTTTCTGCCTCTCCCCTCCCGAACAAAGAAAAGGTTAACCCTAATTCATTAGTTTTTCCCGGCTCCTTAACTGTCACGATGGTGGGAAACGTAGCAAAAAGAAGATTTATTCATCCCGTATCGTGCCTTAGTTATGTGATTTATGACATATCGTGTATGAAATAAATCTGCAGATTACAGTTCTGGTTCAAAATGAAACCAAACGTTTCTATACATTTCAAGTTTTGACCAACGAACATACTTTAGATAACTATCTAATGAGCAAGTAGGGAGCAGATCTGCAGTAAGAAAACTTGTTTCTATCAGGCAGCAGGTGAACAGGAAGCATGTAGTTGGCATGTTATAAAGAGGTTACCAACAAACTAACAAAAAGACACAGGAGAGGATGAAAACTCTACAGTGTAAACTAGTGGACAGGTGATTGCAAACAACATACAAAAAGTGCAGAAGAAGAACTTTTTGGGTAACAAAAGTTTTGTTCCTCTCTTAGACCAACCCGAGAGGACAGCCTTGGTGTTTCTGGGCAGTGTGTGTGTCGGCCTTCTCCTCACACTCTGCGCCATCGTCTTCCAGATACACTGTCGAGCAGACTGTCACATCGGCAACAGTAAGCACCATCGCCACAGGACCAGGCATCATCCTCATCCTCATCATCATCTTCATCATCGACATCGCAGCTGCCCCCTCCATCCGGCCATTGAAAACAATCCAGACAGCACTGCTGTTGTTGCGGTCAGAGGCCCCGGGCCCACCGGCGACAGCGAATCAGAGGACTGGGACGAGACGTCTGACCTGTCGGCACGGAGACGAAGACGCTTTGAGAGAGCTCTGCTGAACGCCACCATGTTTACATCAGCCGAGGGTATCTTACACACAGACACACACTTATATAGTCATGTCTCATATTAAGACCATTAAAGGAAAAAGTCATACATAGTGATGTCATTATGTTACTGAAGTTAACAAAGGAGTCCAATGGGGGTGTTTAAGGCAGGGAGGAGAGTGTGTGAGAGAGAAACTCCCTATGGAGGGAACTTTGTGAGTCAAGCCTTTGCAGACTAGTTACATGCACAAAAACCTATACTATATAAGAGACACACTATAGGAAAGGGAAAACCCAAAATATAGGCCCCTTAATATATTTTACCCGTATTTGGATCCCCATCTTCCACAAAGTTGTTGCTCTTCTCCCTGGGGTCCAAACACCTTCTCTCAAATATGATGGAACTACATGGCACTATACAAATACATTTGAAAAACGCAACAGGAAAGCATTTTTCCAGAAATCATGACCCAGATTCTCAAAATAATCGACAGACCGTGTTGTGAGTTTCACATAGGAACTATCTTCTTTCTACCAAACTACTGAAATACCACCATATCAACATGCAGCAAAAACTGTGCTTCTACTTATGTTAGAGAGGCTTAACATGACAGATGTAAACGTGAATGGCGTTTTCATTCATGTTTTGGAATTATGCCTTAAAGATACTGTGTCAGTGTACATTAATACTCACGCACAGACATTTTATCTCTATGAGCACTGCTGTCATGCTCATCCTTTGAAATAGTCTGTGATGTGAAAGTTGATGGTTATGCAAATGGGAATCATGTGGCCGTGCTTTATCCCCTATGTGTGTGTGTTTGTGTATCTGTGTGTGTGTTTCTGTGTGATTTGTCAGATCTGGACCGGACCCAGAGGCTAGAAGAGCGGGAACGGATTCTCAGAGAGATCTGGATGAACGGACAACCAGACATCAGTACAGTCACTCAAAGCCTCAACAGATATTACTGACACACAATTCAACAGGATGATAGTCACAGGAATATACAGACAGGCTGGCAGATGGATGAAGAGAAAACAATTACAAGAAATACACTGGATGGAATCAACATAAACCACCAAAGAGACTCTTACAGATCCAACTATTAGTGACAGTAGTGACTCTGCTCTGTAAACAGCAGGAAAACATATGAGCTTACATACAGTCTGTGAGCTGTGACGCCTCAGCCTCAAATGCAGGATGACACTGAAGTGTTGTGAAGATTTATGTCAACAAGCAAAGACACAACGGACCTACAGAGCACACACTGCGATATGTGACTGCTGTTGGTGAAGACTGTATAGGGATTTGATCATTTTTAAACATTTTAAAGGTGCTTTTAAGAAAGATATAGCTGGTTCACAACGAGAGGCAATGCTGCCACAGTTCCTGAGTGTGTGTTTTATAATCTAGAGCTGCAACTATTGGAGGATTGAAAATAATCGCCAACTTTTAAATAATTCATTGGTTAAAATCCTGTTTTCTCAAATATGGAGATTTCCTGTTCTTCTCTGTTTTATATAACATTAGACTTGCATTACTTACATACATTGTTTTTTATCTGACAAGACATTTAATGACCTCACTTTAGACCCCTGATAAACTACAATGCACATTTTTCACAGTATCGCACATTTTAGCATTTGAACAGACAAAGGGATTAATTAATTAATCTAGACAAAAATGGGCATTGATAATGAAATTAATTCTTAGTTGCAGCCTTATTAAGATATATTTGATATTATGTTGTTGCTTATACTTGTTTTTGGGACGAAAGCTCAATGCCAAGATACACAAACATACTGGTGCTTTTACTGCTGTAAATCCTCAGATAAGAGAATACTAACAGGACGGACACTTAATGGCTGTGTTGGTTGATAAAATATGTAAGATATAACATGACGGGACTTTTAGGTGCATCTGATACTGATCAGCTGCAGTTGTTTTTGCACATGGACTTGGAACAGCAGGCTGTTTGGATCAGCCTACAGTATGTTTCTTGATTTGTCTCATTTTGAAATTAGCTGAATTTATAATAAACTGTCATTCCGAGAATTAATGAAAGCTGTTTTCTGTACATATAATTGAGTAAAGTCCCTCGTAACATTTCAATATTGTGGCTCACAGTTCGTTAATAGTTTTTGAGTGCCTTTGGGTTTGTTTTAAATACTGTATGTCTCATCTATTGTGATCTTGTTGATGGCATTTATAATAAATAGATTGATGGCATATTATTGTAGACCAATTCTGAAGTTGGCTTCACGCTTGCTCGTTGACAAAAAAATATAATTAGTATGTGTTGTATTTTCGATTAATGTCGAAAGCTCTGTTGCAATAATCTACTAATGTACACAACTTTTATGATTTGTTGTCAATGCAATCGACAGAAATAAATATATAACATTAGGCACTTGACACACAAAGGCTTTACAAATCACGAGTGGGGTATTTACTGACATACTGACTGGGAAAAAATGTGCCAAAGGCCCCACCACATATAATGCACACACTTTATACTTGTTTAGCAGGACACTTCTACGAGCAGGAGTCGTTGGACACAAAGCATGCCGGGTATCTGAGGTAATGTACAATGACAATGACCTGCGTTGACTATCGAGTATTTTCTGTGAGAATGGTCTATTTTTGGAGTTGTCTCCTCCTGGTGTTCATAAGGGACCCTGCAACACAGACCAGCCCTGCAACACAGACCAGCCCTGCAACACAGACCAGCCCTGCAACACAGACCAGCCCTGCATACACTCTGTATACACATCATGTCAGTATACAGCTTAAAGTCAAAGGGAGAGTGCCAAATGAAAAACAGCTCATTCCCATCATGAAGCAACATTTCTGTCCCCAATTCTACACTTATATCTTATTTTTAATATATTAACATGCGAATAATTGCCTAAAAGTATATATTTTATCCCATTAACACAGAATAATGCACGTTAAGAAACACGTTTACATACTTTACAGCAGACAGAGCATTTGTTTAGTGTATATGCTCAATTTTAACATTCCCACAGTAAGAATAATTTTTCCAATAAAATCTTCCAATATTCCAATAAGTCAGTCGAAAAGTCTAAAATACTCAAAATATTATATTACTAATCCATGTCAATCAAACTCTCTCTGATTCATCCAAGCAACATGTTATCATTTTTCAAAATATGTGTATATATTGGGAGTGGCTATATACAGGACCATCCTGTACACAACGCCAAATGACTATATACAGGACCGTCCTCTACACAACGCCAAATGACTATATACAGGACCGTCCTGTACACAACCCTCTGAAATGGCTATATACAGGACGGTCCTGTATATAAGCTCTCTGAAATGGCTATATACAGGACCGTCCTGTATACAAGCTCCGAAATGGCTATATACAGGACCGTCCTGTAAACAGCTCTCTGAAATGGCTATATACAGGACGGTCCTGTATATAGCCATTTCAGAGACCTTATATACAGGACCGTCCTGTATATAGCCATTTCAGAGACCTTATATACAGGACCGTCCTGTATATAGCCATTTCAGGGCTTCTGTGCAGGACCGTCCTGTATATAGCCATTTAAGAGAGCTGTGTACAGGACGGTCCTGTATATAGCCATTTGGCGTTGTGTACAGGACCGTCCTGTATATAGCCTCGGCCGTATATATTAAAAAAATAAGTTACATGTATATATCAAAGACAAATGGTACATCTGAATTTAAAGCTCGAAACATTTCATATTTAGATTGAACTTTTTTCACAGTTAGAAAATTGTTAAAAATTTGATTTAACAAGTTGTTTTACAATAATCGATGTCTTAGATGTTTTTTCACATTTCATACATTTCAAAGTTGATTTACGGTGATGTATGTCTCAGATGTGATGAAAATTAGCTTAATGTAAGGACATGTTGTTAAATATATAAAAAGCTAAACATTTAAAACCTAATGTAGGCTATATACATTCACGATTAATAATTTGTAGGCTATGAGCAAAGCTGAACATGTTTCCTAACATCTCTCAGGTGCCTGTCTGCTTCAGTCTCTCACTGCTATCGCTTTAACGGGACGGTGTGACGTTGGGACGGGAGCAGACAGAGCTGCAGCAGCTGGATCGACTCTCGCCGCGGACCAGAACATCCTCACCCTGCGGAACGCACTAAGTGTTTCTCACCGTGGATCCGACCGTCCAGGTCCACAATCACAATCCGCCATGAGAGACTACTCCTCCGCGCCGGGACATGGGGGCGCCTGCATGCCGTGCTGCCAAGTTTGCGTGTTCGCCTTTACCGCATTTCTCATCGTTGCAGAGAGGACGGCGCGTGAGTCTTACCTGGGACACACTCACACGCGCACGCACACTCATCACACACACACGCACACGTACACGCCCTGCGCAGTAATTACAAAACACCGAGTGCAATATAACTATCACTGTTTATGTTGATTATAATGTGGTGGCATGTGTCCAGGCGCGCCCTTGTTGTATGTTATTTGACTTTTTTAGGCGTGCGCGTGCATGTGGCCGCGTGCTTTTTTTTGGCCACTGAAAGGATGTACAGTGTCATTGTGTGAGGGCTACAGCGGCTGCAAGACAGATGCTCTCATATTGTACAAGATACAGGGTTCTGGATGTCCTTTGGTGTGTAAAATTTGACATGTGTGTTCACTTCAGCCGTGATGAATTATAGAGTCAGAGTCTGCAGTCAGCACCAGTGCGCCTCTTTCCTATTTACACTGCATAATATGAAATCCCGTATGCAGCAAAACTGCAGACTCATGGTAGTGATTCCCAGAGTTCCTTCAACAGAATTCCTGAGGGGAAAAACACAGGAGCCATGTTGTCATATTTCAGCGCCCTTTTTTTTGAGGTGCATGAATGGATGAGGGGATGGGCGTACCCCATGATGGGACCTGCTGTGCCCGGACAGCCCTTCCGTTTGGCAGCTAAAACGTTTCAGATTACATGGGTGGAGGCAGAGCTGCAGAGCTCAGGGTGATGTGTGTGTGTGTGTGTGTGGGGGGGGGGGGGTCTGTAAATGAGTAGAGGAGCCAGCATATTGTTGTCAATAAACATTAGATGGGATGCAGGACGGAGGTCATATGAAAACAAAATACAACATTCTCTATGTTCTGGCACGCTGATGATGACACTTATTTCAGCACTGCAACATAAGCAGCATCTTACAAATCACTGATACACACTTGGCTCTTAGTGTATCGGAACATTGTACAATAACAAGAGAGCTATTATCCTATTACTGAACATTAGTGATATTACGCATGTGATTTAAAGAGCTGATCTGTTTTAACGGCTTGCAATTATGTATGAAGGCAAGCTTTTTCCAAATATGCACAATGTGATATACTTATTAATCTGAAATGTCTTTGGGATTCAGTCCGTATTTTGTACGTGTATGTATGTGAGTACTTTTGGGATTTTGTATTGTAGTTATCCATAGATTTAAGCCTTTGTGTGTGTCACCTCTTTCCCCAGTGATCTATTGCTTTGTGTACTATCTGTGGGTGGGTCACAACTACTGCTATGCCCATCTTTCCGGCTTCACTGCACTGTTCCTGCTGCCAGGTGAGGTAACAATAGCCACAACAACATAATCAACAACAACAACAACAACAACAACAACAGCATATCCTTCCTATATTTACAAGAGAACAGGGGGTCCTCAATTACAGAGACCAACAAGAAATGTAATATGATAGATAGATAGATAGATAGATAGATAGATAGATAGATAGACAGACAGACAGACAGACAGACAGACAGACAGACAGACAGACAGATACATACATACATACATACATACATACATACATACATACATACATACATACATACATAGTTAAAGGTTATATTTATATTTGTTTCATTCGGTTTCCCAGGTTGGGGTCCTCAGTGGCTCAGTTATCTGTGGTACCTGTGTGATGGACGCATCCGCAGGAAGTCTCTCACCTGGACACACATACTGCACCTGGGTATCTTCAGAAGGTGGGCAAACCCCAATAACACCAGTTCTAACTAGAGAAAATTGTACAGTTTTCCTGAAAAAATCTGACATGCTGAAAGTGTGTTTGTGTTTGATGACTTAACGATGTACAGTATATGGAGGCATTTCCTCTTCCTCTCTGTTTGTTTGTCTTTTTAATATATCTTCTTCTTTATCTACATCTGGCCTCCACAGGCTGTGGGAGTGCATGTGTCTGCAGGACTATGATTTGTATGGAGAGATCATGCAGCAGGCTGACGTGTCCGCCTTGCGTCTGTTCGAGGCGTTGGTGGTGACCCTCCCTCAGACGCTGCTGCAGACCTATGTCCTCATCTGCACTGATATAGGAATCAAATCTCCAGGTAATGAGAGCCTGAAAGGAAATGTACAAGTCAGGTGGCCCAGTAGATCTGCATAACATAATCAGAACAAAGTTTAGAGCATCAATGATTCATATTTGTCTGCGCCAGTGACAGTCAAAGCCAGAGTTATTATGTTTTCGGGTAATCTATCTATGAACGTAATATCTCATCAACGCCTTAAGGAAAGTTCTTCAAATTTCAAAAAAGTGTATTTAACTTGGAAGATAAACTGATTTATTTTGGTCGTCAAAGTTAAGGTCACTGTGACCGCGCAAACCACATTTTTGGAAATAACTTTTAAGCTAATTATGAGATTTTACACAAATGTCGAGTAGGATAGTATGATAAGGTGAGGACGGGCCCAGAAAGGGAGTGACAAAAGTATCATTATGCCTATTATAAGTCTGTATACAGTACCATCAAAACTATTTTGAGGTAGTCAGAATCAGAATCAGAATACCTTTATTAGTCCCACAGAGGGGAAATGTGCATCGTCACAGCAGGAAAGAGCCACAGACACCTTAATGCTACATATATTTTAAAAAAGTACTAAATTATGATATAATAAAAAATATAATAAAAAAAATAAAAGTAAAAAAAATACTTTTCAAAATACAAATCCTGTAACAGTTCTTAGGATTTAGCAGCCAGGTATATATTACACAGTAAAGTAGTACCTTTAAGGTATAATAATGTTACTTTAAAAATCAACCAATTTCTCTGCCATCTATTTCCAGTGTTTAAATTGAACATGATGTAGTGTCACATTATATCAAAGTATTCATATTTGTTATCCTCTCTGCCTCCTTCCTCTTCCCTCTCCCCTCTCCCCTCCAGCCTCGGTGTGTTTTGTGGTGTGTTTGTTATCTCTTGCCTGGGCCTTGGTCCTTTACGCCCGGGCCTGTTTACTCATCAGACCTGGACACCTACAGATGACCCCCGCTGCCATGCTCTGTCGACTTGTGTGGAGGGTGGGCATCTTCACACAGCTGTCCACCAGACAATAGTATACACACTAAGTATGATTGGCATATGCACATGTTTGGTTTTGTTTGTGTAACGGGTATATTTTCTTTGTCTGCAGATCAGTATGTTAGGATCTCGATTTGCGATCCTCATGCTCTTCACACGTATCTTCAAACAATGGATCCTGGGAGTCATTGGTAAGTCTCATTGCCAAAGCTTCATCCCAAAACTCATATTTTTTCTGGATAATAACATGAGTTTAAAGCTGTAGTTCCCCTCAAAAGCTGAAATATCTATTTTTTCTGTATGGCTATTCAGTAAGAGTGAACAAATAATTTAAGTATTTAAAGACGTTGAATCTTGATTGACCTCATCTTCTCAGGATGTGTCAATAAGTGTGTTTATTTAAAAGTTATAAAATGTAATTGGTTATGTGTGCGTGTGTGTGTGTGTTTCAGGTGTGCATTGGTTGGGTGCAACTTTTTGGATGGTGTCTCAGCAGACTGACATCATCCGTTCAAGTAATCGATGGAGACTCTTCAACCTTGTTCTGGGAGCTGTTCATATCTTCCTTTTCCTCAATGTGAAGTACGGCCAATCCAGATACCGCATGGCTGGCTTCTACCTGGTATGTGTGTGTGTGTGTGTGTGTGTGTGTGTGTGTGTGTGTGGTCAGTTCATGCGTGTGTGTCGGAGCTTTTGGGCAGGGCCATCGAGAAAATTAAGAACAAAACAACACATAACATTTGTGATGAAAGTTAACCACCCCCATGTTTTTGTTTTTATTCTTCTTCAGGCCATGTTCATAGAGAACGCTTTTCTTCTTCTGGCCTTCTCGTGGCTGTTTACCATGGTGTCCTGGGACACTGTGGGGATCCCAGCTGCAGTGTTCTGTAGCTTCCTCATTGGTGAGACACACGGCTACACTATGAAAATACTAAGACGTTTTTACACACACTTGCACGCCTCCATTTCAAGTCATCTCTGTTTTCTACTATTTACCTGTTCCCCCCTCTCACCAGGAGTCATAGCGTTGGTGATGTATTATCGTTTCCTCCATCCCAAGTCCTTTGAGATTTTCCAGAGTATTCGCCACAGGGGAATAGGCGGAGCCTGTGCTGAGCGTGGATCTACGCTATCATTGGAGGAGAAAGTCACGCCTACTTTCCATCGCCATGCAACAACACTGACCGGTCTGTTTATCTATGTATCTATGTATCTATGTATCTATGTATCTATGTATCTATGTATCTATGTATCTATGTATCTATTGAATATCCTATGGTTGTTAATCTAATCAGGAGGCGGGACCCTTATGGATCTCCCTATCCAATGGGAAGGCTGGAAACATCACCACTGGCTGCTGATTCGCTTAGCCATGAAGACGGGGGATGTGTCTAAGATCTGGTCGTCGTATGGCGAGGGGGGATTGGCCGGACTGATGGGTCTGCCTGAAGAAATCCACTCCCCTGATGTACATCATCGGGTGTGTTGCGTTTTTTTTAGCAATTACATTAAGTAGTGAGACGGCAATAAAAACAGTTTCAGTGGAAATATATCTGTCCTATCTGACATGTGAATGTGCAATGTATATTAATACTACTTAAAAAGGGTTTCTCATTGTAATTTGTCCTGCGATTTGTCAGGGTCCACTTATTCCGCCGCAGGTTCCTCAGATCTCACAACCAGCCCCTCAACCGGCTCCACCTGAGGTCAGCCCGGCTCCACAGGCAAGATCTGGGTTTCATTTATCCCTCTTTATCAATTACTCACCTGTGTTACATTGAATTTGTAAAGAAAAGTTATTGATGAATTGATGTAGATGGTGGCCATGTAAAACATAAGCAAACGAAATAATGATAACCTCGTAGAAATATTTTATAAAATTCTTTCAGTATAATCCAAGTCTCATTTATTTAGTCGTGTGCTAATAACTACATCAAAAACAGATGCATTTTTGCTAACGGCTTGAGACTGTTTAAATGCAAGCATATATATATATATATATATATATATATGGAGGTGTGTGGCGCAGTGGACTAGTGCGTTGGTGTTCGGATCAAGGGAGCACAGGTTCAAACCCCACTGTAGTCAGCATGTCGTTGTGTCCCTGGGCAAGACACCAAATTGCTCCTGTGGGGATTGGCTTTGGATAAAAGCGTCTAACAAGTATACATGTAATGTAATATACAATTGTAAGGTTATAGCGAGTAATTGATTGATTTGGTCATTATTTTGGAAGAAATATAAATTGAACTGATAATATAAATTAACATAATAGTAGATTTATACTCAAAGCCACTACTGTATGTGTAGGATTTGGTAATGCAGACACATACAAGCTAAAAAGCTAAAAGCAACACAAAGACTACACCAATTTTAATGAAATATCAGTGCAGCTATAATAATCACAGTGTACCGTATAAAACCGTTTTAGAACCTGTGTCAATCAAGGGGTCAGCCATCACATTTGCAAACAGTGTCTCTCAGTGTGTCTGCAGTCTGAGGCTCAGCTCTCTGTCTCGTCCTCAGGTGCTAGCGGACGTCCCACCTCCAAAGCCGGCTCTCTCAACTGTCATAGCCAGACCAGTTAGAAAAGCTCCACCTACAACCATCCAGGATTTGAGACATTTCCCAGAGATCGCCCCTTTCCAGGAGGTCATCATGGAGGAGTCTGCAGAAGAAGAGTCCAGAGCTACACCATCAGAAAGAGGTTGGTTTTAACACTTAAGAGTGGCAGGGCTGTTAATTCACTAAATTGTTGCTAAAGTTAGAGTATATCTCTCTGGTCCTGTATGTCTTATTTTTTTTAATGATATGATTGATACATGTAATTTGCAGTCATTTTATCTCAAGCATGATTTGACCTTATGAGATGGGTACTGTTTTAAACACACTTAATCTTAACTTGATTTTTTTAAGGTGATGATGACTTTCTGAGTGCTGCTTACGCCTCGCCCTCACTTTCCTCCCCGCTGCAACCAGACAGCTTCTGTCACATCGACAGCAACATGTCCCTGACCGAAGCCTCGTCCTCCGTAGCCTCGCTGGACATCAAGACTCCCGTCTGGTCACCTGAGCGACGCTCCTCTCTCATGATCATCAGTTCCCCAGATAAAAAACCATCGCTCCCCGGAGAGTCCAGCCACACGCTGTACTTCAGCGCGGATGCTCAGTCCCCCTCCAGTGGGAGCTATCTTGGCTGGGGCTCTGAATTATCGCCCATCTCCACTTACAGGAGTCCTTACCGGATCAGGGAGGCTCGTTTCATCCCTTCCACACCACGTCTGGAGGCTCGAGCCAGGGCTGAAAGTCCAGGTCCGTCCTCTGTGGTTATCACCCCTGCCACTCCTGGTACAACACCGGGCCCGACCCCAGGAGGGACCCCTGGAACATCGACCCCTACCGCTTCAACTCCCGGTACTACAACACCCGCTGCTTCAACCCCTGGTACTGCCACACCTGTAGCTTCCACTCCTGGTGCTTTGACTCCTGTTGCGACCACACCCGGTGCTCAAGTCGTTCCCCTCACTCCGGTCCTCGCCCACGCTCGCAAACAGATGGTGCAGGTGGTGGACAGCAGAGAGAGGTTGGTGTAAGGAGGATGGGGGGTGAAGGGGAGGATGTGGGCAGTGATGTCTTTTTTTTGTTAAGCAGTTATGATATACATAAATTCATGCATCTTGGCTATCTATCTAGGGGGAGTTCAAGGAATACTTCAACCCCCAAAATTAACATTTGTATAACAATTATTCGTATGCCTCAATTCTTGAAGAGTCAAAACCCTTAATTTAAGTTAACAGGGGTTGCGTTTAACAACAGCAAAACTGTATCAAAACATCCAATACAATTAAAGTCTCGTTTATCAAGTCAGAAACGTATTACTTCCCTAACACATGCAATTTTGCTAAACCTTAATTTTAGTCCAGGAACGCTTCTTGGCCATGCCAGTCCGAAGAGTTTATAGGGAAGTTTGAAATGAAAAGGCATGAAAAGGTATGAAAGTGCAGAAGCATTTCTTCAATAATTCAAGCTAACACAGGGGGACTTACAGGATACAAGGGTTACATAATAGAAAATAAGCGTGCATTGGTATCACACTTGCCAACCACAGGAAATTATCTAAATTCTCAATAATAGTACCTCTGGCTTTGCTGTGTGTATAACGGTCTTTAAAAAGGGAAGCGATGCATTAGGACCGTGTTGCTGCACATTACTGCTAGATGGTTGGTGTGCCTGCAGGAAGGAGGGTGATGTAGGAAACTCTTTGCAAGCTACTGTGAAAAGGCTAAAGGGGAAGCATCTGGTGAATTTAAATGTATGAGGCGAGGCACATGGTCGTCTGGTTCCTGCCGAGGCAATCACAAGCCATTCTAAATATTCAGTCCTATAAAACCATTAATACAAAAAGATGGTACGCACTACAGATCATTATTAACAGAAGATTGAATCTCGTTACTCATCAAGAGAACACACAGATTCAAAGGTGCTAATGAATGTGGGGCATGCTTTCATTTAGATTATAAACCCTTCCGATTTTTGGGGAAAATAACCATAACAAACCGCAGGCAGAGTAGACAGCTGAGATTTGCTTTTTTGTTTTACTTATCATAAACATTACGAGCATATTAAATTATGAGCTGTGAGGAAATCAAATAACATGATAAAGTCAGAGACTTTTTGAATTAACCAGGTACTTTAAAATAGTTTACAAACACCAACATGCTGAATCTCTTCTAACTCTTCTCGCAAATGAATCTTTCTTTTTTTATTCTGATATAATCAAACTAATAATCTGCAATGAAATATCAAAATACTGCAAACCTAAAGCTTTTACGATGATGTTGAACATCCCGTCCAGTATTCAGGAAGCCACTCATTCATGCCACGAGTTATTTCCTGTGTCCACTACAGTACACTACACTACAGTACAGTACAGTACAGTAAAATACAATACAGTACATAACACACAGTAGTGACACAAACTCTTATTGCAATCTGTTAAACAGTTAATCATCTATTCACTGATGTAAACATCCAATAAATGCTCGATTTTTTCTTTGCTAATTTTAATTGCAAACATTTCAGCTGGCACTTTACAGCAGAAGGGTGCAGCTACAGTATCATGATGTGTGTAGACTACACTTTATAACATTAGAACATTAAGGCTTTTAACTTGATTATTTATTTATTTATTTATTATTGTGATGCTTTGAACTATTTATAGTGTAAATTATAATTATTCACATCTGTGCTCCCGGGTGTATCTGTGTGTTTTTGTTTTCTTCTTGTATGTTCCTGCCTGTGTACATGACATAAGCTGCTGCTCATAACCAATTGCCCCTTGCGGGATTAATAAAGTTGTTGATTGATTGATTGAGAATATGTAAAAGAGAAATTGTAGTAGAATATAAAATATTGAAGGGATATCAGATCCCATTTTATTACATGCCTTTCTTTGTATCCGTATCATTTCTTTTTAAGTTAATGATGGCTTGTTTTATGATATCTATTTTACAAACAAATATTTTGTTTGGTATTACATTTTACTCAGTGATTCTTCTCATAGCATTCAGAATTATTTTGAAAAGTGCAACTTTTAAAATGTTGCTGAACAAGAAATAATTTACTCAAATGTACACAATACAGAGGAGAACCCTATTTTAACAAAGTTTAAATATAATATGTACAGTGGGGCAAAAAAGTATTTAGTCAGCCACCAATTGTGCAAGTTCTCCCACTTAAAAAGATGAGAGAGGCCTGTAATGTTCATCCTAGGTACACTTCAACTATGAGAGACAGAATGGGGGGAAAGAATCCAGGAAATCACATTGTAGGATTTTTAATGAATTAATTGGTCAATTCCTCGGTAAAATAAGTATTTGGTCACCTACAAACAAACAAGATTTATGGCTCTCACAGACCTGTAACTTCTTCTTTAAGAGCCTCCTCTGTCCTCCACTCGTTAACTGTATTAATGGCACCTGTTTGAACTCGTTATTAGTATAAAAGACACCTGTCCACAACCTCAAACAGTCACACTCCAAACTCCACTATGGCCAAGACCAAAGAGCTGTCAAAGGACACCAGAAACAAAATTGTAGACCTGCACCAGGCTGGGAAGACTGAATCTGCAATAGGTAAGCAGCTTGGTGTGAAGAAATCAACTGTGGGAGCAATTATTAGAAAATGGAAGACATACAAGACCACTGATAATCTCCCTCGATCTGGGGCTCCACGCAAGATCTCACCCCGTGGGGTCAAAATGATCACACGGTGAGCAAAAATCCCAGAACCACACGGGGGGACCTAGTCAATGACCTGCAGAGAGCTGGGACCAAAATAACAAAGGCTACCATCAGTAACACACTACGCCGCCAGGGACTCAAATCCTGCAGTGCCAGACGTGTCCCCCTGCTTAATCCAGTACATGTTCAGGCCCGTCTGAAGTTTGCTAGAGAGCATTTAGATGATCCAGAAGAGGATTGGGAGAATGTCATATGGTCAGATGAAACCAAAATAGAACTTTTTGGTAAAAACTCAACTAGACGTGTTTGGAGGAGAAAGAATGCTGAGTTGCATCCAAAGAACACCATACCTACTGTGAAACATGGTGGTGGAAACATCATGCTTTGGGGCTGTTTTTCTGCAAAGGGACCAGGACGACTGATCCGTGTAAAGGAAAGAATTAATGGGGCCGTGTATCGTGAGATTTTGAGTGACAACCTCTTTCCATCAGCAAGGGCATTGAAGATGAAACGTGGCTGGGTCTTTCAGCATGACAATGATCCCAAACACACCGCCCGGGCAACGAAGAAGTGGCTTCGTAAGAAGCATTTCAAGGTCCTGGAGTGGCCTAGCCAGTCTCCAGATCTCAACCCCATAGAAAATCTTTGGAGGGAGTTGAAAGTCTGTGCAGCGACAGCCCCAAAACATCACTGCTCTAGAGGAGATCTGCATGGAGGAATGGGCCAAAATACCAGCAACAGTGTGTGAAAACCTTGTGAAGACTTACAGAAAACGTTTGACCTCTGTCATTGCCAACAAAGGGTATATAACAAAGTATTGAGATTAACTTTTGTTATTGACCAAATACTTATTTTCCACCATAATTTGCAAATACATTTTTTTTAAATCAGACAATGTGATTTTGTGGATTTTTTTTTCTCATTCTGTCTCTCATAGTTGAAGTGTACCTAGGATGAGAATTACAGGCCTCTCTCATCTTTTTAAGTGGGAGAACTTGCACAATTGGTAGCTGACTAAATACTTTTTTCCCCCACTATATATAACTCTAAATGTATCTCATATTCTCTTCTAAAGCCCACTTTACTCACCAATAGGTTTGTCCTATCTTTTAGTTGAACCTCCTATCTTAGTAAAACTGAATTCACAAGTGACAAACAGATTCATTTGTTTATGAGAAAATGCAATTTCTTACTGAAAACTTTGGTTGAACATTTTGATAAAGAAAGAAACAGAGAACATTGTAAGGGGCAGTGGTCTTTAATAGAACTATTGCAGAAAGGGAACATCCTGGGTAATGTGCTGCTATGAATGTCAAGCTTGGTCGATGCTAGTATTATGTAACGTTATGAATATTATTAATTTTAATATGTGAAAGCCGAACAATATAAGTCTCCCATGTATATTTGTCTTCCGTTTTTATTTACCTATGCTGTATTATTTTTAATTTCTTAACACATAATAACTATAACGTAAGCTCTATATCTGACAATGAGCAGTTTGGTAATGAAACATTTTGGGAATATAATTTGTGGTTTATGGAACAATGTACAGAGAAGAACATCCTGAAACTGTGAAAAACTGTTATCCATATACCTGCTGATTGACAAAAGAGTCACTGCATGTTACTCCTTCATCCAAAGAATTATATCGGTTTCTTTAGAGAAAGAAAGCACTCGCTGTAACTTCATACACACACACACACACTTCATAATAGTTAACACACATGCTAGAATGTATGCGTTCACAAGAGGAATAAGCTAGCTAATGAAATGTATCTTAGTGCACTAAAAAAAAGAATCTACGCACACGCTTCAGAGTGCAGCGATGCCTTGGCTTGATCGTCCTGACTCAGCGCTTTGCCTTGTAGACACTCAGTCGCTTGTTAATAAAGTGTGTATTGCTTTATATAATACCAATATGCTTTGCTCTGTGTACCTGGTGTGTATGATCATCTTTGCTTGTCTTTCTACTTTGTTTTATTTTGTATTCTTTTTTAATTCCCTTCTTTTATATTGATCACATGTACTGTTATGAAATGTGTGGAGAGCCACGGTGCGGTGTGTCAAGGTTTCACATGTGAAATTGTTTTAGAGACAGCATTGTTTTCAATGACAGATTGAATAGTTTGCTGATTGATTGTAACGTCACTTAGACACTGGAAGGCCTCCATTTATCAACATGCATCACCTCACCTCTACAAGGATCTCCACAGTACTGTGGCTGCTGGTAGTGAGTCATTAACTGTGCTATTGATGTGGCAAAAATAAAGTCATTAGTCATGATCAAAGAGGGTTTTTTTGTGTTTTATTGATGGTCCTTGATTCATTTACAATTAGTGATGTTTCATGTATGTGTTTGTGCTTACACAGATAGGTGGAAATGCATAATCCAAGTGTAAAGTATACAGTGATAATAGTTTTCTTTGACCATTTTGGCATAAGATGAGCTTCAATAATGAAGGTGTTGTTGGACCAAGAATCAGGTAATGAAGCAGAAATCTCCCAACCAGGCTGTAAATATTTGAGTTGATATTGTGCTTTGAATAATTAAGTCCAATATAATTTTATATATTCTTGCATGACATGTTTTAAGCAGCAGCTCATCACACAGGTCAACAAAAGCACCCCACCTAAAAAAAGGATCTGTTTATTTGCCACTTGATTAAAGTTGGTGTGCTGTGCTTATTATATTTTTCTCATCTCATCATTTTTAAAGTCAGATGACAGACTCTTAAAAGGAAGAGAAAGTGACCTGGGGATCAGCATGTTTTCCGTGGTAAGTGATTCACAGCATGAAACAGCTCAAACGGCCAAAAATTAAAATAAATAGACAAATACAGACAAATACAATACGATATTATACTCTCACTTTACCTATAATAAACGTGTTTTGCTTAAGGTTTCATTATAGCTCTTTTATCGTAACATTTCTACCAAATGAACTAAGGTGTGCTACACCAGTCTTCTTTTAAAATAAAACGTCAATTTTTTGCATGTGTTGTGTGTTAATGGTTAATATGTATATTTTTTATTATACTCTATTATACCTTACAGTCTACCTTTTAAAGTCGAATCAGATTCACATTTCATTAATAATAATGATAATCCTAACATTATTAATTACTCTTCTACCATTACCACCACCACCTAGCGTTCAGACTGAAGTAGTGCAGCTTTACTCCATAACGCTCTCTTATCATTAAGGTTTTACCAGTTAAATCCAGATTCAGATAATTTGTCTGGATATGTGTCTTTGAATGAAACATTTCTGATGATCTTACAAACCAAACAAGAAACCCAAATATTGGAACAAAAAACGAGAGTGTGACCTTTTCAGCGCCGGTCACATGAGCTGCATTCATGTGACCGGATCACGTGGTACCAGTGAGAGTAAATAAAAGAGGAGGACCATCTCGTAAATGAATCACAGTTTGTTAACCTGAGACAACTAGAGACAAGAAGGGATCCTGGAGCTAAAGATTTAAAGTTCACACAGCTGACACACGAGCTACAGGTAAATTATTTATTTTCTTGTCCCTTTGTCCTCCACTTTTTACCACCGGTTCTCAGTTAAGATAGTTTGTTTACACGGTGAGTAAGCAATTTGCTAACATAGCTAAATGTGCTAACACATCTATTCATGATTAAAGGACACATGGTCGGGGAATATTGTGTAGGCAGCACATGCAAATAAATAAAGGCAATAACCTAAAACCTGATGTTAAAATGTATATGAAACCTAATACTAAACTGGTGTCACATCAATGAAGTGGAAAGTGAAACTGTTTTGTAAGGGCTGGAGGCAGCCATTCTGTCCTCTGCTTCTACTAGACAAACAAGATAAGCTGAGACTTGTTTTACAGATGTATTAACATGTCAGAGAAAGGGGGAGCATACTTTTATGGAACTGGAATAGATTGTCCTTTTTAAATATGGACTCGATTAAAACCATCTCTTCTTTGCAAAATAAATTGGAGGGAGGACATGAAAAAGTGGTACATTTGCAATCACAAGCCAAATTGTCATTGAGTAAATCAAGTATTTGATTCCCTTCCTGTTGGCAGGTCCTCAGCACTGTGACAAGGAATAATGGATTTGTTTAATCTGTTAGCAGAACAATCGAAAACTAGATTTATAGTAAAGTGTTACAGATGTATCAAACTGTGGGTTAACTAGATGATCTGTATGTGCTGGTAAGATGAGTGGTGTGTCTGTGTTACTTTTTATGTTCAAGAAATTATGTACTTTTATAGTAATCTGGCTCCAATTCCAGCTAATTTTGCAGAAAAATATAATAATTGTATATTATAAAAAGTAACGTAACAGAATATTGCTTGGTCCCACATACAGTAACTGAGTATCTCCTAATTTTGACACTTGAGTTTGGAGTCTTTCTCTTCAGAGGTACCAATAGTGATCAGCATTATTCTATGAAAGAAGACTCAACCCTGAGTG